ATATATATATATATATATATATATATATATATATATATATATATATATATATATATATATATATATATATATATATATATATATATATTACCTGTATATAATGATGATATCCTTATTTTCCACTAGTGACTAGTCACATAAACAGATTTCGGCCAAGCATTTTTGGGTTTTGTAGCATTTTGTTGGTGTATAATACAATATCATTTGCAGAAATTAAAGTCTAGTAACAAAAGAAGAACGCAATTATAAAACAGGCTATATTCCTATAATGTCCATTGTCACATACAAATTACTTAATTCTAATATAAGATTTTGTTGGCTATATATATGAGAAGAGATTGATTTTTGGTTACTGTTATAAAGCGGGGTTGTGTAAATTCTGGGGATAGCCACCCCCCTCCCCCACTTTTCAAACAGAATTTTGTCTAAAATAGAATTTTGTCTGTTTGATTACCTTTCATAATTTACCAACAAGGTACTTAAAAATACTCACACTTTACCAATCTTAGCCCTATAAAAAACTACATTATGCAATGTGATGAGAAATATACTCTATTCTGCAATTTAATATGGTAAATTTGAGATAATTACCTGTGTTGCATTTTCTTTTGTGGAAGACTCACAGTCATCATTGTGGACAATTTTATCTTTGGTGGCCGGACTCGGTGACGTTTCACCAAGTGGCCCACAAAATTATTGCAAACTGCAAAATAATATAGCTGTCCTTTATAGAACAAGTATTAAAGTTATCACCTCGATGACTTGCAGGCTGTTATCCAACGCGACCGCTTCTCTTGCGATCGTTTTGGTGCTGGGAAGCGATAGAAATATACTTATATACAGGATGGCCATTCTTATTCTTAGCCATCGAATGTGAGTAGCAAAAATCGTTTTTAAATGTTCCCCAAGCGCATCTCTTCGGCGCAACCATATTAAATCACTATAAGGGCCACATAAAATAAATTCCTTGATTCTCATCACCGCCCGACTGTATTTTAAGAGCCGCGTGAAATTTTTTAATATTTTGTTATACAATATAAATGAACCGCCCGACAAAATATTTCAAGACAGTTAAGTTTTTTATATTTAAAATTGGGTTTTTAGTGCCATTTTAAACTGCCAATTTCAAACAAATAAAACCTTGAAAGAAATTTCATTGCATTTTAACGGAACTTCGCATTCAGTTCAAGGGTTCAGTCATTGTTCGTGGAGAAATATGTTCATTTTGGTTTGTGACACTTCACTTTGGAAATCACAGAAATGTTAAATGTTAGGAATTATTTTTTTATTTATTGATGATAAATTATATAAATATAAAATATAAAATATAAACCTCCCGGCTCTTCGACATTTTCAAAGTCTATAGTGATGAGAATCAAGGAATTTATTTTATGTTGCCTAATCATTAAAATTACTATGGACCGCCGTCGTTTCAAAGCAATTGATTTTTAGGAGCTACAACGCCGTTAATATCTGATATAGAATCTTTAGACATTTTTCTTTATATTTGTAGTATAACAACACCGAAATATACAATAATTACAATATAAATTTGCAATTCAAATCACGAACGATAGTGAGCGCCATATTAACTCCTATTACACAACAGAGCGAATGTCCGCAATGTTTACATTTTGTACCACGTGACACCCTTGGAATTTACACGTGCATTTTACCGCTGAAGTGGTGGATTAAATTAGAGCAACAAAATTCATAAACATTAAACACTCAAAGCAAACTTGCCCTATATTCCACGATTTTCCACAGTAAATCAATTCTTCTCATTTCTTCAAACAAAAATTGCTTCAAAGCTCATTGTGTGAAACGAGATTTTCCAAATATATGCTTTTGAAAATTGAAATCTTGTTTATCCCACTCCTGGCAAACAGCCATATTTTTGAGATCAGTGAGCATGACCACCCACGGTTGGTGACCCACGCCCGCGGTCATTGATGAACTTTAGGCAGCGTTTACACTGTACCGTTTTCGTAGCGTTCTCGTATTGTTCGAGAGAACTAGACTATTGTCTTGCGTTCCCTTGAGGATTAAGAACAATACGAGAACGCTACGAAAACGGTACAGTGTAAACGCTGCCTTAGACTTCGCTAGTGGTTCCCTTTCCCCGGGTGTAAATAGCCGGGAGGAATTAGTACCCTCGCTCCGGGCTAACACCCGGAACGGCACTCCGCGCTGTTGGCTCGGGGATTATGACACCGAATGTTCGCCATATATTGACAAATAGGTCATACAGATGGCCAATTACCCTTGAAAGTTTTCTTTGACAAGATTTCTTGTTCGTGTCTTCCGCAATAAAATGATATAGCTTTTGCAGGAGGAAAGTTTGTTCGTATATATGTGTACGGTCGCCAAGGAAAACTTGACAAGCGTGCTGTAAGAAATACTTTTATCATGGCTAGTTCTCGCAATGCAAATTGCATGCATGCACTCCACTCAGTTTAATTACCATTATTAAAATGTGTTTCAATTGATCGCGTGGTCAATGTTTAGTAACAATGAAAATGGTTTCAAAATATATGTGTAGGTCTCGTGCTCTCGCCAAGATCAGGAATCGAATTAGGAGGAACTAAAATGTTCATTGGCGGACCTTGTTATAAACCTGACGATCAAATTCTGTGTCGGTTCAACAAGACTATTGATGCAGATGCTGTGTATGTCAGTCCAGAACTAGCATATTGTATCACTCCACCATTGTATGTTGTTGGTCTTATCCAAGTTGAGCTCTCATTGGATGGCGGTGTAACATTCAACTATACTGGCACCTTCAGATCAAGTGAGTTGATTGACAGAGATTTTGATTCAATTTAATTTGCCATAATATTATAAAAATATTTATTTTCTAGTACAAAATCCAATTATAGTGAATTACGTATAGATCGATGACTATATATATAAACACATTACGTACAATGAGTGAGAGGTCATTTAAACATCTTTTGGTCACAATAAGTTTAAAACATATAAAATTGAAAGTTGCGCGTAGTGTTGAACAATCCGAACAACGATGGGTGCTGTCCACAATTTGATAAATTACGATTAATACTTGCAGGGACTACATATAGTATATATATTTTCACCAATTCCATTTTCCTATTTTGTATAGTATACGGTATTATTCTCTCAAGCATTTGTAAGGTTTTGGCCAAAAGATATGTTTCTTCTTAACGACGTCAGAAAACATTAATTAGTAATATGCATGATCTTTTTTATAGTTCCTTTAGGTAGAAATCCTCCAGATATACAAGGGTTAGAAGTGGAACATTGGGCCAACTCGACTAAAACGGTCTTAACCTGGAATCAAAATGAAATCAACGAGTCACACGTTGACATTGAAATATTTCTGTTTGACACCTTTGAGTTCCGTCTTCATCAAGCTAGTTTAACTAGCTTTAAACATATCCCTAACTCCGGGAGCTACCATCTTGATTTCAGCCAGGAAAATATTTCTACGAGGTAAGTACTCAAAATAAAGCACGGTGTAAAAAAAAACAATTATATAGTACCATTACTAAATATTCCAACTTTTAGTTTTTGTGCACAAAACCTTCATCTTTAATTTTTTATTTTATTAACTTCTATATATCTTCTTGAATGGTTTGACATATAATCCACCCGAGTATTTTACGAAAATGCGAGAAACGAGCAAAATGTTTGGCAGAATTATATTACAAATCATTCAATGGGATTTTTGATATGACATACCTCAAGAACTCAACTAGATTTCCTTGTCTTTTTTGTTTTAAATGCAGGGGCGTAGGAACCGGGGGAACCGGGGGCGGGGGGCAGGTGGGCCAGGCCCCCCAAGTTTTGCCCAAGTGTCCTATTTCCGGAAGCAAAGTGCCCTTTTTTTGCGTGAAAAATTTTCATTAAGATTGCATTTTTTGCCCAAAGGGCACTTTTGAAAACGTGAATCTATGTTATTTGCGGAAAAATTTTTTCATTTCCGAGAAAAATCTTATATATCCGGAAAATTTTTTGATATGTCCGGAAAAATTTTTTCGTATTGAGGAAAAAATGTGGTATATTCGGAAAATGTTTTTTGGTATGTCCGAAAAATTATTTTTGAGATGACCTTCCCCCCGTCGCCAACATTTCTGGGAAAAATTTTTTTTAGATGCCCTTTTTTTCGAAAAGTGCCCCTCAAAGCCTGGTCCCCCAACTTTTAGAAGTTTCCTACGCCCCCGGTTAAAATGCTCATGTTTTTGGCCACATAAACAGATAATCTAAAAGAAATATTCCACCTCAAACATGTGTCAACCTGACAACCTTAAAACTTAAGGTTTAAGTGCGGTGAAAAAAAAATTCTCGACCATTTGTATCATGTGTTTTTCACTGATATTCTTGACTTGCAATCAATCCCTTGAGAATTAGAAGACAATGGCATCATGGTGGCCATGTTGGTGCCAAATTCAAAAGAACTTAAGGAGATTCTTTGTTGAGAGGGGACCAACATGGCCGTCGCCCACATCATTGGAAGTCAAGAATACAGGGTGTATCAAAATAAAGGTAATCGAACTTCAGCGCGCTATTCTATTGTATCTGAATTACTCTGCGTATGAACGAGATTTTTCATATTCGGAAACTGATCAGGCGTTTTGCTGTTGACTGAGATGTTCTTCATGCCAAATGGATAAAAATTGAGCAAATACGAATCCGATAAAAATGTTAGTAAGAATCGCATGTTTTCGTCATTGAGAGGGTCTAAAACGATTAAAAATGAACCCCTTTCGGACATTTTTGCTTCAATAAACTACGCACATGTCAATAATCATTATTGAGTAGGAATAAATAGTCTCAGCTAAGCCACGACAAGTTTGTGATTAATTGTTTTTTCGTTTGTTATACACTGCTTTAATTAGGCACAGAGGTGAAAATATGCGATTCTGACTGCATGACATTTCTTATCGGACTCGTATTTGTTCGTTTTTTATTCACTTGGCATGAAAAACATGTCATTCAAAAGCCTGATCTTTCCGAATATGAAAAAAATTGTTCATATATACGCCGTGTAATTCACGTACAATAGAGCGCTGAAGTTCGATTACCTTTTTTCATACACACTGTATATATCGTAAAGAACAAAGTCAATGTCTGTAAAGCATGATGTTTTGAAGCGATGAAAAAAATGCAAAACCTGTATCAATTGAAATCATAAAACCAGTATCTGCTTTATTGTTGTTTAAGTAGAAAATCGTTGATTAAATTAAAACAAATTCATGGCATGGAATCGGATAACACATAATAATATAATTAATGATTCACCAATGTATTATTACCATAAGCAGGAAAAGAAGACGAAAGAGAAATTCCCATACAGAGTCACCGATCGCAATTGTTGGTTTAACACCGTCGTTATCCAGAGTGAAAAGATCTGGCATCATTCCTAAAGTGGCATTATTTAGTGCAGTCTTTCTTGTTACTTGGTTGTTTGACATCAATCACCCCTGTGACAATTGGTATCATTCTCAAGATGTTGGTAAAATCGCAAGACTGCAAGGTAATCCTAAGGGAAAGGATTCATTTTCTCTCCGATTTTGGAAAGCTCTTCAGCTCTCCACAAATCCAAAGCCCATTAATGGCTATAGGCCACAGAATAAAGATCCATACAGAAGGGCCACTTACGTCGGAATCTTTGAAGTTTCTGTCCTCGCGCATGTCGCATTGCGCATGTTGGCCGCCATTTTTCTAGCCAGTCAGTAACATTTTCTGGCCAATAAACACGTTGTACTGGCTGGATGCTCCGCCTTCTGGCCAGTAAACTGCATATCTTTACATAAAAAAACGAGGGCACGTTGCAAATTTTGATAACTGTATATGCAATACACCGGCCCTTCCTGAATGTACGTCACCTTGGTTACAGAGTCTTGTTTTCCATAGCATTAATCAAAGCCAAGTTTCGCAATCACGACAACCAGGCTTTATAGCCATGGTGACGTACATTCTGGAAACGTGAATTCAGTAGTTGTGGGTGACTGCTTAGCGGCGACGTCCATCACTTTATACATAGTGGTAATTAATTAAACTGTCCTATAAGGTTGGCAAGAACATCAAATATGCTTTTTAAAACTAGAATAATACTGTTTTCTAGCGGGTTCTAGTCATCCAGCATATACTGTAGTGCTATCAAAACCGATTGAACAATCACCGAAACATCTTCGTATTATTTTGCTTCAAAACGTATATAGAGATGTATTTTATTTACCAACATATATATTAAAACTGACATTGCCAATTTGCCCCTTTAGGATCATTCAATTCCCTCGAAATATCCACGCACTTTTCACTCGATTGCTGGACAAACAGAGTTAACATGAAGTATTAGTAACTGATCAACACTGAACGCAGGCTCGCGTTTACGTCAGTGTTGCCATGGCAACACGATAATTTTATTTTCTATATATTTTTTGTACAACTATATAACAAATAAATTGTTTTTACTTAATAAAACAAAATAAGTTCAAATTGTTGAATAATTTCAGTTAGGTTTTCAAATTAATTTGCTCTCCTTCATATTTTATCATTTTTTCTTACAAAAAACGGGGTAATTTAGCAAAATTTAATACAGTTTCATTGAAAAGGAGCGCAATGACTCTTACGCAACAAATTAAAGCAACAAAATTCATAAACATTAAACATTCAAAGCAAACTTGCCCTACATTTCACGCGATTTCCCACAGTAAATCAATTCTTATCATTTCTTCAAACAAAAATTGTTTCAAAGCTCATTGTGTGAAACGTGATGTTCCAATTATATGCTTTTGAAAATTGAAATCTTGCTTCTCCCACTCCTGGCAAACAGCCATATTTTTGAAATCAGTAAAGATGACCACCCACTGTTGGTCACCCACGCCCGTGATCATTGATGAACTTTGGACTTCGCTAGTGCTTTCCTTTCCCTATGTAAATAGTCGGGCGGAATTAGTACGCACGCCCCGAACTAACGCCCGTAACGGCGCTCCGCGCCGTTGGCTCGGGGATAAATAAATGTAAGTAATAATATATAAATAAACTAGAAATACATGCATGCAGAAACCCTCGCCTCCTGACAAAACCATTGTATTTTCCGAACATGAAGTATTTAAAGTGGTTGTCGTGATAACACGATAATTTTTTAAGAATGTTTTTACAAATGAAAAATCCCCTAAAAATATCACTTTAATTAGAAAATTACCAATTTCCCAAACATATTTTTGTTAGGTATGTTATTATACGTAATATAAGCTTCAATTTAAGGTAAAATTCAATCACAAACGCTTCGCAAAACTCTTTAAAGTGTTGTTTATAAAACTAAACTGCCTTTTGGCTTTATCGATAAACTTTGAGTTTGAAATAAAATGATTTCAAATTCTCGCATGCAAATAACTTTGCTTTCTTTTTTATTTAAAAAAAATATAATAAAAAAAGGGTCGTCAATAAAGTATACACTGAAATTATATGCTGTCTTGTTTCGTTTATACGCAACGTTTATCCGATCGACTTTTAAACAATACATTAATATTTAAAACAAACTTACCTTCGTTAACGTCGGCGCCTTTGCTCCCTTCTTTTAGCCGATTCTTTCGCCCTTTTTTCTTAAAAAGCTTTTGAAATTCCCAAAATCTTGCAAAATGAAATATATTTGCAAGCTTAGAAATCATCAAATCAAGAAATGTTTGCTATTTCGCTGTCGTCATGCAGTCGTTATAATGCAAATTTTATATTTGACCAATCAGTGTTCGCTACTCATGACAGTCCTCCATATTGTTGAGATCAGTGAGGATGACCTCCCACCGTTGGTCACACACGCCCGCGATCATTGATGAACTTTAGACTTCGCTAATGCTTTCGTTTCAATTCCCCGGGTGTAAAGAACCGGGGGGGATTAGTACCCTCGCCCCGGGCTTACGCCCGGAACGGCGCTCGGCGCCGTTGGCTTGGGGATAAGTAAATATAATGTACAAGACATATAAATATATAATATTATTTTCTTTCTACCTACAGCTGAGTTGCCTGCTTGTCCTACAAGTGTTAGGCAGATAATAGTGGATGAACAGTTCGTGGCAGATTCTGGAATTAAACGAATCCTGAGCGGCTTCTATCATCCTGGTAGTACATCCTGTTTTCGTTCCAGAACCGCGAGGTAGAGTTGTAATATTTTGTGCTCGTTTGAGCACCCTAACTCCATTAGGTTCTGCGCAAGTGCAGAGGCGTTGATGTCAATGTGTTGTTTACCACACGCAGTTGGTGAGAGCATGCAAGGTCATGTCTATAAAAATATGGTGGTCATCAGCTATCTAGATTTGGCGTGCAAGGTGTGCTGGTGATTGAGGCGTACGATGCTGAGACATGCAAAACATGCAAGTACTACTTAGTACAATCGCATGTTAACATGTAATCTAGTTTATTATTAGCATGACAAAATTACTGGATGCTGATTGGTTGAGAGGAGTACAATTATTTCATTTATTGTACTGCAGTACAATTAATGATTTTCACAACAAAACAAAATGGCGGAAATGTATTTTAACAAAATACAAATGTGAAATGAAATTGCCCCAGAGGAACTAAATGAAAATACGAACAAAGGCACCAAATTTTGGTTGAAAGTATGGCAGGACTGGGCTTTGGCGAGAGAATATGATGTTGACATTGAGAAGTATCCAATTTTGTCATGCTAATGATAAACAAGTAATCATGCAATGTTGCTCGTACAATTAGGGATTAATAGTACTCGTGATGTTTGGAAATTTGCCAAATTGGACTCGCCCCGGCGGCTCGTCCAATTTTGGCAAAAATTTCCAAACATCACTCGTACTATTAATCCCAAATTGTACTCGCCATCGCATGATTACCTATACTAATTTAGTACTGACGAAATGTATGCTAATTCGATCGTATGCTGATTCATAGCACATTAGACTAGCTAATCTAAATCAACAAAATACGCAATCTCACGCCACATTGCGCTTCTGGAAATATTTCGGTTTTTTGAATAGCTGAAAATACAATATAAAATATTTCCTGCCAGATTGGTCATTTTGATCGTGGGAATATGAAGACCCAGTCAGTAGTAGTGAATTTATAACCGGTACCTGTAAAAATACATCATTCAATCCCACATTCCAATAATACCGGCGTCAGGAGTTATTTCTGAGTTCAATTACATGAAGGAACGAAGCAGATATGTTGCAAACAAGTTATCTTTGTGTTTTCATTTAGTCCATCAGGTGCTGGACAACAATGTTGTTATAATGGTGATTCACTGATAGTAGGACCTCCTGGTGGTGGTTCGTTGGATATAGCGGCTCCTGACAATTTCTGGGCCCACATCGGACGAGATGTTTTACCCTGGTGGGCTTGTTGTAAGATCACTAATAACTGCAATAAATATTATGATAGACGACCTTCCGATAATGGCTCACGATATGTACCACCCCCAATTGGTAAGTAAATTTCATAACAAGGAACTTTATTATAAAATTATTAATCCATATTTTAAGAGAAAATAGTATTATTTATTTTAGTGGTGAAAATAGAACAGTCTGATTGACTGAGAAGTCTCTCCGAGCGGGCCCGTTTTTCTCATCTACTATAGTGAGTTTTTCAAAGATTGCAAAATTGCATGCACTTGTCCAAATTTTGGTCAAATATACATGGTGTTTGAAAAACTCACCCATCTTTTTTCAAATGGCCTCGAAACTATACTATTTTAAACACCGCGGGGAAAAGTCGTAAATGGCTATAGATCTTATTCATAAATCGTAAATCGGGGCCTCGTACCCTGGGAAACGGGAAAAAACGCTGGAAAATTTACGAAACAATAACATTTGACGTTTTCTTGTGATTTTTGACCTCTTGTTTTCTTTTATATTGATGTCAAATTATAAAAAATAAACTTTCGTGCCATAGTTGTCTTGATTTTTCACGGAATAACCTAGTATATATTGACGTTAAAATCTCTGTAAAATGCTGATGTTCAGATAAACACCATAGCTACGTTGTCATATTTTCACATTTTCACACAAAAATGGGAGAAAAAGTGGTCGTTTTTGTAATATATAATGGTCATTGAACTGAGTGGAGTGCAACTTGGACTGAAATCAACGCGTGACCGCTTCGCGGTCGTGCGATTTGCAACACCAATTTAATTTCAGTCCAAAATTGCACGACACGAAGTTCAATTTCCACTTATTGTATTCATTTTGAAATCTTAAATATTTTTGTACAGGGTCGGATGTGTTTGTAAACCGGAAACGTTTTTGTTTGCAAAAGACACACCTCCAGTAATCTCTGGTGCCTCCCTGAGTGCTGTAGCATAACAACATTAAGCGAACAACATGAACTTAGTTTTGTTAAATTGCATTAAATTTATTAATATACGTTCAAAATACTGCAAAAATGTTAAAGAAATGAAGACAGTTATAAAGAATAAGAAACAACACAAGTTTACGTTTAAACATATTGTAGGTTTTACGAGTGATTTGAAAGAGTTTTTTGTGCAGTTTTGGACTTTTAAGATTGCAAATAAGCGAATTTACCTTTGTTTTTCCTGACGCTTTAAATTTGCTTTTGTTAGCATTTTGACCATGTTTGATAGAATATTATGTTCTTAACATTGGCCTGTTACTATTTGTGAAGTTTCAAAAAAACTAAAAATTCTTTCAATTCTTTGATAGTTTACTGTAGCTATCCATATTTTTTGTTTTTATGTGCAAAAAATTGCTTAGGCCCTCAAGAGTAATCATGACATTATGTAATTTTTTTGTTTTTGCTCATTTGCCATTTCACATTTTTCTTAAAATTGATTGGCTCTTTGAATCCTATGACTAAATATGATTGGTTGAAATAAGTGATTGGTTGAAAGAAGGTGAGATTTCAGCACGAATCGAGATTTGTGCTGAAATTGCATTCCTGTGAACCAATCAGATTGCAGGAAACATGCACCACTGATTTCAAAATAAAGTCGTTTATATAGCTTTCGCTGTGGGCACTACAGCCACGCAAAAATCGTTATAAATCGAAATAAGCAAAACAAGAAACACGCCGTGAAATTCCGAGTTAAAGTGAAAATAATCCGGGCGTCTAAATTTGGCGTGTTGAGCAGATTTCGCTTGTTTTCCCGCGTTTATTTCCGTTTCATAAAGGCCCGGTCACACTAGTGCGTATGAGAAGCGTATGAAAATTAATGAAATAATTTTCATACGCACAAAAATCCTTTGAAATGCCAGCGTATGAGTACCGTACATCTGGCGTACCTCTAGCGTATTCAGCGTGTGCCTAGAGTATGCTTATCGTATAAAGCATACGTTCGATACGCACAAAAATTTTGAACATGCTTAAAAAAAAATTTCTGCCTCGCCGTATGCCAGCGTATGCCACAGTATGCGACCGTGCTTGAAACGTATACAACCTATGCCTAACGTACCCTTAGCGTATGTCAGCGTATACCGGCGTATGAGTGATATTTTTCATACGCTGGCATACGCTAGTACGATACGCAATAGTGTGACAGGGCCTTAAGATATACGAGACCCCGATTGCAATTTATGAATAAGGTTTGTTTATTCACTATACAGAAAAGAAACAAAGAAGAAAATACAGAAAACGGGCATAATGTGATCTTAATCATGAGATCTCTAACACTTAAAGTATAAAAAATATAAATTAGAGAAAAAAAGTCTGATTTGAAAGAGCATATATCAAGCGCTTTGTGCAAAATGATTAATTACCAAAGTTTAGACGTAAAAAATAAGAAAACTCTTGAGAAAATAAGGCTCTTATTTTAATATCATAAATCTTCCGAGTGAGTCATAGAGTTTAATTATTGTTTGCGCAAAAAATTTTTATTAAAGTCATTGAGAAAAATATGTGGATGATGTGAACCTATACTAAAAATATCTTAATTTGTAAGGTCCAGTTAAAGAATTGCAGAACTTTTTATACAATAAATTTATTGACAGCCACCAGTGGTACATTTTCTTGCATAATACATTATATTGTACATGTAATTATTTGTAGTTTTTAGATTGTCACATTCATTATTTCGCTTGCACTTGATTCTCACAGAAAAGGTAAAACATCGAAGTCGCCCCTTGTCGTTTCCATTTTGAGTTTTTGAGAACCTTCGGAACACTTAACACCAGGTTCGCAAGGCAAATTTCCGTATGGCTGACGCATACGCAGACGTTTCTCCGCGGTGGTACTATTATACCTGGTCCAATAGAAGTAGCATATACTGTAGTATATAATTACAACCAATTTAATCGACTATATAACTGACTAAAAGAAGTCATTTACAAATGAATAATATACATTTGTTACAGCGGATACAAGGGGAGATCCGCACTTATCCACGTTTGATGGCACATTCTACACTTTTAATGGTTATGGTGAATATATCCTCCTTCAAGTGAACAATAGTGTAGACTTAGAGTTTCAAGGAAGAATGATACCCATAGTTGATGATCAGGGACGTAGAACCAAGGCAACAGCGCTAACCGCATTAGTTGTCAGAGCAGCTGCAAGTGATACTGTACAGGTAAGATTGCGAATTACCACTTGTTTCATTCACGATCATTTAAACGCATATATAACAATCAGTGAGTTGACTTTTATACCAATTGAAAACCTTTTCAAGCAAAGTTATAACAATATAAAAATTAAAGAGGTTTACATTATGCATGATTACATACCTAACGTATATATTTGGGAAATTGACAATTTTAAGATATATTCATGTATATGGGGAATTGATAATTAAAAATGATTTTTTTGAGTTTCTTCCCAATTTTGAAAAATATAAATTATAGAATTATCGGGTTACAATGACAACCCCTTCAAATACTTCAATAATCAGTCGAATCGTAGGTACTGTATGTCCAAGGGTATTATCACCCCTTGGCCCTGGCCAGTGGCGGAAATCTTGGTGGGGCAGGGGGGGCGACCGCCTCCCCCCCCCCACCTTCACGGAATATTGCCAAATTTTCGGAAATTTTGACCTAAGAGAGGGCTAAAAACAGTCTTTGCGAGTGCAAATGGGGGGGGGGGTTCACGGAAATTTGAAAGTTTTGTCGGAATTTTAGGAGGCTTTGCCCCCCCCCCCGGAAAAAGTGAATTTCCGCCACTGGCCCTGGCAAATTTTGCCGAGCAGATTTCGCCGAAAATATTTCTTAGACGGACAATGGAATGAATAATGCATTAGTTAAAATGTTAAAATTTATTCCAAACGGCCAAAGTTTGAATAGATTAATCCAAGATTGCATAATAATGTACTTGCTATAGACCAATTGGAATACATAAAAGTTTTCCTTTGCCGCATTTTTAAAAAGGCCCTGGAAACGAGGTTGGATCGTTACCAGTCTGGCGGAGCCCTATCGGGGATTATCACCCCTAGAGCGTTTGGTCTCTCCTCGCAGGTCTTATATATACGCATGCGGGATGAAAACATAAGGCTCAATGAGTCTTTGGGTTAACCAGAGTTTAAGAGTATAATGCGGTCTATTTATAATTATATATGCACAATGTGCGCCAAAGTCCAATGTGCTACAAGTTAGGGAAAGTACATTTATTATGCCTAGGGAGGAGATGAAGATGTCTTGAAAAACGCTCATATTTTTATAAGGTCCCTGTTGAGGATATTGGTAAATTTTCGATGCCCCCTTCCAAATTCTTAAAATTTTCAATGCTACCCCCCCGAGAATCCGGAATCGTAGCAATTCTCTCTTATCGCAGATAAAAATTGCAGTTCCTCAAGATGTCTGATATACTCAAGCACGTGCTTCTCCTCAACAAAAATACCGTCTTGTTGCTTCTTTCACCTCACTATCGCCAGATGAAATGGCACCGTTTTCAAAAGCCGTTTTAGATTGGCTCAATGTGCGAAATTATCAACAGGTTGTTATTGTCTATCATTCACCGTATTGGAGTCTTGAACACGTTCATGTAGTGACCGGGAGTTCCTGGATCAGGGTAATGTGCTGGAAACCCTAGAGAACCTCGTCCCCACCCTAACGTATCTCCTGGCATCTGTTGCAAATTTTTTGCATGCCTGTCAAAAATGAATGCAAAAGCACCAGTGTGCTTCAATTTCTTTAATTTTCATCCCGTATGTACTGAATATATCATTCTTACAAATCGTACGTTTTTTTAAAATTTTTATTTTGGGACTGCTACCTTTTGGCGGGTAAATTACGTCACAAACTTGGCGCCAAAAATTGGAAATAAGCTATTGGTGATTTTATAAATCCATTTAGAAGAGTAACCTTTAACACAGTAACCTTTCAAAACAGTTTTTACATCAGAGCATGCAGAACGTGGAACACTACCAATATATTTATATAAGAAACTAACTTTATTGTCTTCGTTTAAACGTTGTCTATTTAATTACTATTTGTTATTAACTTCTAATGTTTATAACCCATAATTGCCGCACATACAAGACTGTTTGTGTCAAATGTCACAAAGGCCGTCCTTTCGATTCACTCAGTGACACTTCGTGCTGCTAGTACCATTTCTTTATATTATGCGATTGACCCTTTTTTTGTTGACTTTGGTTTTTTTTTGTGATGCATTAGTTAGTGTACGTTTAACTCTTTGTATACAATATTTCTATGTATTTTACAACTCACACGGAGAACCCGTTATTGGAGCTTCGGCTCTGTGGGTGCGCCCTTCCTGTTTTTTGAGTAAATAAATAAATAGATAAACTAGTATACTTATCAGTAGTAGCTAAATGCTGACTTCGTCCTTAATTTGACGATATATCAAAAACGGCCTCATCTTTCCATATTAACAACCCCATTTTAAATGCAATCGTAGGCTCCTAACCCATCGTATGAATAGATCCTTGTTTCGGTCACAAATATATTTCTTTGATCTTGACCGTAATCACAACCCATCTCTAACCCTGGCTTTATTATTCGTGAAACATGAGAATCTGACCATATCCTACCATTACTCTAATATGTGTGAATGGCATCAGAACGACAATAGTATATGGAAACTTGTACCCATTTTTGGAACCGTTTCACTGGACCACAATATCAGCCATAATTCTTTTAAGACCACACATATTATTCAATGCTTTTAATTACATTACTTCAAACTATCACACAACCACAACTGTACAGTGAGTGCGGTATGTACTATTTAAGACACGAGCAGGCGAGTGGTTTTTATCAGATATAAATTTTGCTCATATATCTCGTATACAGGGTGTCCCAAAAAAACACAAAAGCGATTGAAATAACGTATTGTTAGAATTCGAATGTCTCAGCACTCTGCTGAATCCACAAGTGCATAAAAGCTCGACATAAGTATTAGGCTAAGTAAATTCTATGCATAAAGAACTGTTTAATAAGAAGCTGCTTTAAATTCCCAAGAGCAGAGAATCGTGAGCTTTACAAATTAAGATATTTTAATTTCTTAATAAGTCAATATTTAATATGTGCACTCTGTCAATATTTTTCGCATCTTTGCGTTCTGCTTACTGCTAGGGTATTGAAATTCTAACAATACGTTATCCATTAGTTTTGGGGTTTTTTTTGGGACACCCTGTATACCGTCGGCTGGCTGATATTTTACTTCGCTTGAATATAATTCTTCGCCAAATTCCCTTTCTTTTGAATTTACTGAAGTGAAGTCGTTTACGAACTGAATACCGAACAATATGGAGCAAAACTTGCATCTAAGGACGTCAAATTAAAGCCACGTTACTTCCAAAATTGCATTCGACACATGCCTATAACATAACAAAATAGCATACAAAGCATCGTTCTTTTAAAATGCCTTACTATAGTCATTGTTGGCAGTGGCCGATGCCATGCTTCCGTGTCAATTCCTTATAGTCAAATTATATTCAAACAAAAAGTCAACGGACGAAACGTACCATGTTTAAATTACGCCAAACTGATCGACAACAATTGAGATGAAATTGATTCGCTTTTAACGCTTGAAATGAACGCTTTCAGGCATACAATTACAATGTAGATTACTAATGAGATTCCCCGTATTTATAGCATCATGCATGCAAAGAATTCTGGTCGGTTAGCAGCAATGCATTCTGGTCGGTTAACAGCAGTGCATTCTGATCGGAGAAACGGTAGTAAAATCTTCCTTTCAGAGCCCAACGCGAATTAGAACTGGTGACTTGCTCGCTCGCTTCAGGCTCGCTCGCTGCGTCAGCAGTTCGGCATCATACATTGCATTTACAAACGGTAGTTGTTGATATGACTTTTTGTGTAAAAACTTAGCAATCTCGCCCGGAAGTACGTTGGTCTTCAGTCGTTGTTGATCATCTGTTGTTGGTTTTAAATCCAACATCAAAATACCCATGAGGTCGGCTCGTGGCATCTTCATAACTCCTGATAAACTCTTGCACTCTTCCAGGATTTATTTGCCTTGCAAGCATAGAAATTTGCTGTTGATCTCTTGGTAACTTGAACAGTACAATATAATGAGCATTAAGGCTGATATTTCTCATTTCTTTGCCCTGATAAAGTATGTTTTGGACAATATAGATGATGGACAAATTTCGGTGATGGCTCCCTTTGGTAAAAAGATCAGCTATACGTTTGTCTTTACTAGATTGTGCCATGAGATCGTCCAGTACGACCAAATTACGTTGCGATACGTCCAAGTTATCCACTTTGTCGATATTCTCGGGAATGCCATTATTGAACTCGATTCCAGGCATCGTCGTCAACATATCAAAATAAGATGGTTGCCACTGACCATAACACCAGATGATACGTTGAGGAGGTGGACTTATAGTTTTCTGTGAATTCTCCAGGAGAGTTTTCACCCACATAATCTTACCACTTTGTGTACACCCAGCTATGATGCAAGTAAATGGGTGCTGCATAACACTGGACCTGTTGCTGATTACAACTAACCTTCCTTTATCTGTACTGGTGTTACGCATCTGTTTCTTGTGACGTGAACGGTTACCAAGTGTTGAAAACGGTCTTCCACAGCCCTCGCAGGGATAAGCATGTTTACAGGTTCACAATCAAATGTAAAATGATCATGAATTCGAAGTTTGTGTACCGTTACATAAATACTATTATGTGGTCAAACCAACATAAATAATCCTATGATATTGATATCCTAAGATACTGTATGATATTCTAAGATGCTGTGTGATATCCTAAGATACTGTATGATTTCCTAAGATATTTATATGGAGTAAGATATTGATATTCTAAGATATTGGTATCCTAAGAAAATGACATCTTAAGTTATCCTAGGATACTGTATGATATCCTAAGATACTGTACGATATCCTAAGATATTGTATGATATCCTAAGATACTGTATGATATCCTAAGGTATTGATATCCCAAGATATTGATATCCTGAAATACTGTATGATATCCTAAGATAATGATATCCTAAGAAAATGATATCCTAAGATATTGATATCCTAAGATATTGATATCCTGAGATATTGATATCCTGAGATACTGATATCCTAAGATACTGTGTGATATCCTAAGATATTGATATCCTAAGAAAATGATATCCTAAGATATTGATATCCTAAGATAATGATATCCCAAGATATTGATATCCTGAGATACTTTATGATAAGTATAGGTTATTTTGAGGCAACGCGAGGGGATATGTGATTTATTATATCCCCGAGGTGCCTCAAAATAACGTATTGATTTTTCACATTGCGAGGTCGCGTTAATGAGTCAGAATAGAAATAATTCTTAATGCCATATTGCCTTCGTTATGTTTTTTTTTTCTCATTTTCTGTGCTGTAAAGACATTATACAGGTGAATATTAGAGGGGATTATTAAATTGAAATGATTAGAGGGGAATATTGAATATATTCCCCGTTAAGAACAAAGGAAACCGAGCAAGGTGAAAAATAACCTAAGATATTGATATTCTAAGATATTGATATCTTGAGATACTGTATGATATCCTAAGATATTGATATCCTGAGATACTGATATCCTAAGAAAATGATATCCTAAGAGAATGATATCCTAAGAAAATGATATCCTATAGATATTGATATCCTAAGATCATGATATCCTAAGATATTGATATCCTAAGAAAATAATATCCTAAGATAATGATATCCCGGCTAAGAAAATGATATCCTAAGAGATTGATATCCTGAGATATTGTATGATATCCTAAGATACTGTTATCCTAAGATATTGTATGATATCCCAAGATACTGTATGATATCCTAATATATTGGAAGATAAAATCTGTTTTCGTTAATATATAAATATGTTTTTCAACAAAATCTTCATTCCGTTGTTGACCGCCGAACAGAGATGACTAGCAGTTATATCAAACACAGACCGCTTGTGGCGCTCCTATATGTACTTCTCATACAATTCAACAACAAACTTTGTTGAATTCTACATCTCATGAACAGATTCGCTTTCCATGTAATTGCTTGGAAAACTTTAAATATCCTAAAGGAAACGAAGGACAAACTCAAGCCTTTCAAATAAGATCTATATAGCTGACTTGGCGGACAGAGGTAGAAGTTTTAGAACGAAAAGAAAAATTCTTGTTCAGCGCGGGAGTGACTTTCTAGAATTGGTACTTGCGCCACTTTTAGAGGGCCTTGCAGAATTAGTATAAAATACTCATCATTAATTCACATCGTCATTCCAATTATATGGACAGCAATTGCAAGGAAAGATCATCTCCAAGACATTGGCGCGTTGAAGATATACTTGGACACTTTAACGATAATGTTGAATGCTGAAGAACTTATTCACTGAATTCTCACATCCACGAATATTCTCACATGGAATGTTCAAGGGAAAATTGTATACAAAGGACAGAATATACGTGGAACAAATATTGTAGATCTTTTGCAATATTGTGTGACGCCTTATCATTCATATATTCCAGAACCGGCTGGACTGCAGATATTTCTTAAAAATCTTGCAAAATTGGAAATTGATAAAAGCCTAATCGTAAATGGACATGTCCTTACAATGCTAGCCCACAAGCAGCCACTACATAATGTGGATACACAGTCTGATAAATCCGAGGATGAGTCTGAAGACGTGGACACAACTTGTAACAGTTGTAACAAAGATTTACACATCTCCCATTTGGGTACATGCCCTGTATGCTCATGGACAGATTTTTATCCCAATTGTACAAGGTGTCACTATATGATCTGTGATTTTCGACTGTACGAAGGAAATTTCACCCATGTAATCCCCGTTGCTCACATTGTCATTGTGATGAAATTATGGATGTTAGTACGGATAAAAGACGTTTTTTGACCATAAAATAGTCGAATAAAGTGATATTTGATCAATTCACTGTGTAAAGCTAAACTCAACACATCAATAAGGCCGAGCGGTACACTTGCTGTAGACGCGAAACTATTGGATGACCATTTCTTCAGACAGCAACGTGGTGGGAATATCGCAGGGTTTCGTGGTGCACGTATGCAAAGGGGATATGGGATCGGAGGTATTTTCAAGAGCCTTGCGAGATATGCTATCCCTCTATTCAAACAAGGTGCTAAAGTTGTTGGCAAAAGAGCATTACAAGCAGCCACGGAAGTTGCCCAAGATGTATCCAAGGAAAAAAAGTACGAGAATCGGCAAAGACTCACGGTAGAGAAGTTGTTAAAGACTTTGCCGAACAAGGAGCAAAGACTCTTCTGTGTCAAACGGGGCATGGAAGTAAGAGAAGGCGAAGTCAATGCAGTAATTTATCAACTACAAAGAGGCTAAAACTGGAAGACCCAAAGGCCTACTTTGGGGGCCAAGGTCGCCTAATGTCGCCTAATTTCGCCTAATGTCGCCTAATTTCGCCCAATTTCGCCCATGTGCACCCGATTTTTGAACTTTGCCTAACAGTCTATTCGCTTAATGTCGCCTAATTTCGCCTAATGTCGCATAATCTCGCACAAGCATGCCCAATTTTGCACTTTGAGTTTGTCGTCCATTCTAGTCTATTCCTTATTTATTTGTTAGTTTCCTGCATGTTTTTTTTTATAAATACATGTACACAAACACCAAGGGCATGTGCTGTTAGGGCACCATCTCTCACCAGTACTAATGAGGCTTGGTTATTTGGGGTTTATATGTATATGGAATTACAACGCATTATTCCAATGAGAATTACCTAAATTATGTTGTTAAGGCAGCCTTCTGGCTATCTTCTCCAATGTGTTTCTTTGTGAAACTCAGTCAAATTAGACAATCACATGCCATTAAATGTTGTATATGAAATCAAAGTGGCGAGTGCTAAAGTACAGAATACCTCTCACTAGCCTAGTGAAGTACACTAGGTATCCTAAAGGCCGAAACAGTACCGTCTGCAGTTATATATGTACTGTTTAATAAACGAGCAGGAGTGTTTTATTAGGTTTAAAGACACGAGCGCGCAGCGCGAGTGGCTTTAGACCTAATAAAACACGACCTGCGAGTTTATTAAACGGCTTCAAACACGACTACAAATTCAATAGATATACCGCCTTATTAGTATTCTTTATATAAAAAATACTAATGAGGACACAACAACAATAGATACTGCCTTATTAGTATTCTTTATATAAAGAATACTAATTAGGAGTGTTTTTTCAGGTTTAAAGCCACTGCACGTGACATATTATGGTTGACATGATTTGCCAATAAGCTTATGAATTATTAATGAGTGTTTGAAGTACTATTTAAAATACTCATTAATAATTCATAAACCTTGTGGCAAATCATGTCAGCCATAATATGTCACGTGGAGTGACTTTATATCTGATAAAACACATGTGGCATTGTATAATTGTTCATCCTAATTAGCATTATTATATAATGGTTCATCCTAATTAGTATTCTTTTGTAGTCGTATTTTAAGCTATTCAAAACACTCGTTGTCCTTTTTTATATCTGATAAAATACTCCTACTCGTGTTTTAAATAGTGCATATATAGACTATAAATAAAGAAAGTCATCTATAGTATGTTCAAAATACGACTTTGTAGTTTGTAAAATAAAATTACTTACTTTTCGACGAAGCTACGATGATCGACATCTCATAATTAGGTATCATCGCAAAAGATACAGAGCAATGAATGCACCACAGAAAGATTTCTGGTACAGGTTATTAAAAAATGTCGCCAAGGCCCGCCATAATCAATTATTATGTTTCCTTACACGAAGTAGTACAAGTTAGAAGCTAAACCATTAAATTAGACGTGCCGTGGTATTGCGGGCTCAAATCCCAGCCGCCATTTCTTTTAAGCATTTTTTTATATTAACGAATACACGAATATAAACTTTAGTGAATTCAATTCTTGTTTCTATTTATTAATTTATATTTGATTCTTGCTGATAATACATCAAACAAGGTACTTTCATCGTTATTTCGTGATTTACTTACTTACTAATAAAAAACCCAATACCAAACACCACGATGTAGTAATGTACGTACACAGTACAGTTGAACATATTAACTTTATAATTTATACTGTAACTACAAGAAAACTATATTAATAAAAAGTTTGCAACTGTTGAAAGCCTCTCAACTAACGTTTAAAGTTAATTTAAGCGAGCAAATTTATTAGCACCTTGCCCACTTCCATCACTGCATACCACAGTCCATAAACAGGTTTTAAAACTCTATGAGGTGTTTACACCAGTCAATTTAATAAGAAGTCAGAGTTCCATGATACTGTAAATGTACCATGCACTGGGCATGTATGTGTACTACGGTATAAACTTTGAGTAAATTGTCAGGCTAGCAGTTAGAGAAATGTTCCTTGTTCATATTTTTGCAAACTATTTGTAATAAACTAATTGTGTTCTTTGCCACAGGAACCAATTTTTGATAACTAAATTATATTTTGATATTTACTGTTGTATTTTTTATGTAGATGCATAATTTGTGAATTATAATATTTGACATTATCTGGATATTGCTGTTCAGTTTTGTCCAATGTCGCCCAATGTCGCCCAGTTTCGCACACTACTTTTCTTTGAAAATTGCCAATGTCGCCTAATGTCGCACAATGTTGCACATAATAACGGCGACCTTGGCCCCCAAAGTAGGCCTACCCAAGACGTAACAAATGGGTTACAGAAGATGAAAGTAGCCACAACGATGAATCGGATAGTGAAACGTCTTAAACAAGTGACGATATATATTAGAAGCATAACTTTGTAAAACGTTTTGAAGAAATAAATGTATTTTAAAACTGAAATCTTGGGGAAACGTTTGTCTGCAAAGCACGCTCTTAGAAGTAGACCTTACTAAATTTTGTAAAACGTTTTGAAGAAATAAATGTATTTTAAAACTGAAATCTTGTGCTAACTTTTGCCTGCAAAGCACACTCTTTCCCACCCGCGTAATTTGCCTAACCCGTCCGCCTGATTAGTGTACAAATATGTTTTACATTAATATATGCATGCACCCAAGCGTCGCTAATTAATGTCTGGCAACACATAGCAACGTATATAACGACCGCATATTTGATAAAAACATATTTACTTTTTTGGCAAAATTTATTCCACCTAAGACTGTTCTAAAAGTTTTTCCTTCAAGTATTCTTAATAAGCTTTCTTTCTTTTGTCAACGAGGTTTGCTTAATAATGATGCAGATTCTACTCTAATGGATCTTCTTGATCCCAATACCAAAATAGTTCAAGATACATTGTAGTTCATGACTCTCATATTGTGATGCTAATTGGTCGCGTTACCTGTCACATTTGGCCCAGGGTTGCCCACCTTATTGTGGTTGGTCGCGTTACCTGTCACATTTGGCCCAGGCTTGCCCAGCAAAGTGACGCCATAGTTTTGCATACTAATTATAAATTCCGCCAGTTATCTGAACAAAGTGACGTCATAGATTTTGCAAGCTCATCATTAATTTCGCCAGAGTGTTAGCTGAACAAAGTGACGTCATAAATTCCGCAAGCATTATAAATTCAGCCAAAGTGCTATCTGAACAAAGTGACGTCTTTGGCGGCTCCTTTGTACTCCATAGGGGGGTCTATCACTACTGCCGTTGGCTCGGGGATGATCATACATGGAAGTATATCAGGTATACTGCGCATCCTCAGTTAAGCAAACGCGGGTCCCAGAAGCAAAAAGCCAACTTTTGCTTTATTACACAGAGGAATTCTATAAGTCATTTACAACTCTCGTCATCGGGCATTATCGGCCAATAAAGCCCTCTTACTCGGCTGGTAAATATTACATATATTATTTATGCATTATGTTTTTTGTTTCAATCTAGGTCGAGTTTAACAGTCGCCGAAAGATAGATGTTTTTGTGAATGGGGATCGAGTTGAATTTGATGAGCAAACAAGATTAGACTTTTCTGGGGTCCTTATTGAAAAGCGAAACCAATCAAAAATTGGCATCCACTTCACTTCAGGAATATCTATAGACATCAAAGCAATTGAAGACTTCTTGACTTACCAGATTTCAATCCCAAAACGATTCAAAGGTTTGGATTTGATTGCACGGTTATATTTGACCAATTTGGCGTAATTAATTTGTATATATACTCTAAATGAAGCTGCAATATTTGTGTCGGATTAGTAAATTTAACTCTCGAAAAATGCTGGGAGAATACTCGAGAAACAAACACTGGCCAGTATAGGCTGCATTTTTTGCACGCTTCACTCGTTATCTCTCAACATTCCCCTCGTGCATTATCACCCCATAAACGCACGAGATTCGTTTTCTATTTCTTAAATGATTACGGCAAATTTTAAATGAGCAGCAATAAATTTCCTAAATGATTCTCGCGAGGAATTAGTTGAGGTAATTCATTTTTGAATTAATAAACAAGTACAAAAATGCTATTCACTAATTTAGATCTTAATGCGTTTCATAAACTATTAATTTTCAATGTCAACATAATGAAAACAAACCATGAAAAGTGAAATAAATTTGAAGAAAATTGAACATAAGCCTAAACAAGGCTTTCATAATTGCTGCGCCCTTTTTTCGCTTTCTTCTTGTGGCTATAAGGAGTTGGAAAAATTAAATAACTTTTAAAACGGGGATTTTATCATGTACTCAAAACAACTTTCTTGTTTCAGTTTGTGGCAGATTTTAGTTGGTTGAGAAACTTGATTGACATCCTTTCTTTGTTTGTACGATATTATTCAATCAGACTGAGAACGGCGAGCCCTTTTAGCGCTAGGATACGTTCGAACCTAGTAAATACTCGGCAGGACTATATGTCAAACCATTCATAAGATATTTGCATTACACTGGACTTGACTGCGTTGTACGTATACGGCACTGTATAATTATACAACGCTTGATTACAGTGTAATATACTCTATTGATAGGCACTGTTGTTACAGAGTTTTGCATCGTTGTTACATAATTTTGCGCTGCTGTTTGAGATTAATTGCACTGAAATCAACCAATCACATTCGAGTAACATTTTTATGTATATTATTATATATATTATTGTGCTTTGAACACACTGTTTTATACTATCTGTTTTTACGCATACTGTATTTTAGGGAAAACAGCCGGTCTTCTTGGATTTTGGGATGATAGCAAGGATCAAGAATTTTTGCTGCCAAACGGGAGCTTTGTTCACACAAACTCAAGTTATCGAATACTTCACAATGAATTTGGCCAGAAATGTAAGTTTTAAATGTTAGTTTTGAAAAATTTTCTTTCAAAAGAAGAGTCATCTTTCAAAATATTGCTTCGAAACATTTTCCCGATATACAAGGCATAGAAAACAAATCAAAATTTTAATCAGAATTCTCACGTGAGATTTTATAAGAGTTACAACGGGAAAATGAAAATAGACGATTAGCTAATTGTTAACCAGCATGAGATGCAGGAGAGTGGTAAAGAGGGATTCGGACCACGTTTTATGTGAAGAAAAACAGTTATTTCACGTGTAAAAAGAACCATTTTACGAAAATTAAACAACACGTTTTTTAACAGTGAAAATTTGATTTTCTATCTTGAGTAGCTATATTTAATGCCTTTCTTAACCGTTATTAACCGCTTATTTTCTTAACCGCTTATTTTTACGTTTTCGAAATTATTTTTTCCGTATTGATATATAGTTATATCAACACTCGTGGAAGTTGGGAAAACTCGAAATTGTATGAAAACACTCCGCCCTTCGGGCGTCATGTTTCCATACAATTTCTCGTTTTCCCAAGTCCACTCGTGTTGATATAACTGTATATCAACACGGAAAATGTTTTATATTATACTTTCGTACAACACGGCAAAAATAATTGAAAGATTTATTGCTTTTCACTATATAACAATGAATTTCCGAAATATATACTGTATAATTACGTTGTTCTGGATTTTGTGAGCTTTGATTTATAATTGTAATTGAACTGA